AATTGTTCACAAATATAAGTAATATTATACGTAATAATAATAGTATATGAATAACAAGAACGAAACCTTTAACGAAAATGTTTCTTCAAAATACACTATAGACACTATTCTATAGTTGAATACTCTATTTTGACCTCTTGGTGTATATTGTTATTTGTTTTGTTTGGTTGCTACCTCATTTACGTAATCCCCAGGTTTCTTGTTATTAATACAACACGTTTTATGTAAATGATAAGAATAAGTTGGAGTATTAAACTATGACAAGTTCCGACTTCTTTTAGCATCATTGCTTTTGGGTGTTCGTTTGGCTATGCTGGAATCTTTAAATACGCAGTCACGTCTGATATGATTGTTTAAAGCCATGCATCTAGAAAATATTCCCGTTATTTTGCATGTTAAAGAACCAAACGAACGACTTACAGCAGTAGATTTAATTGATGATATGACATATTTTATTTTTTTCGGTCAATTTATGCAGTTTTTAGATTTCAAAATCAGATAGATGCAGTACCTGCTGGAGAGTGGAATGTAGCGTCTGTCCCACATGCTAAACAACGAGATGGTCAATCATGTGGAGTTTTTGGTTTTTTGCCCATTGTCTGTCAAAATTCCTGACACTAATAAGTACACCCTTATTTTCTTATGGCAGTCTACCAAATTTTCTATTCCTTACACACACTTCTATTATTAAAATATTGTTACTTATACATAAATTACATTGGCGTTTTTTTTAATTAAATGCTGTGCATGGTATAGAAAATAAATCATCGAAATCTACAGAATATTTCAGCGTACATTGAGTTTTCAAAACATGCCCTGGCAACCCATTATACATCAATTTAAAGAAGAATTGAACACAAAAGCTTCAATTTAATCATGATAAAACTTACATGGAAGAAAAAAAGAAATACATTTCAAAGTCTAACTTGACACAAGGTAGTTTTCGGTAACTATTATCAACCTCAAATTGTTAAATAGAGACATTTTCATATTTTTGCAGGTTGCAGAGCTAGCTAAACCCATAGAGGAGAAGTTTAACGGTGTACTACTACCTCCTGCTAAAGCAAAGAAAAAAACCCAGAAGAAATTTAGATTGATCGATTGTTGATTGCTTAACGTCCTGTGGTAAATATTTCATGCATGTTCAGGACGAGAACAAATTAACAATAAATATAAAAGGTAGGTCCTGTAATAGAGGCCGTCCAGGAGGAAGGTCGGAGAAATTTTGACTCCCACTGGAAAATGAGGGTATATTGGATAGGGACAGAAAGTTTTGACTAGCAACAAGCCATCTACGGACCCCTCAGATTTGTTACAAGGCTTCTTAACTTGCAGAGAGCATGGGACCCTCTTTAAACGAGGCATCCAATTTAACGTCCTCATTTTGACCAGACGTGGCTGTGTACTTGTATCCCGCACAGCCAAACAGACGCCCCATTTTGGCAAGAAATTTAGAAAAATTTAAAAAAACCCACCTTGATAATTGAGAAAACTGTCGAAACTCAAAAATACAGAGCTTGGAAAAGATACAAGAGTTCATTCACTACTTAATGACGACGATGAACCTATTACTGATGAGCGAAACGAATTCGAGGATGCGGTACCACCGAAAGAAGGAAAAGTACCAGCATATTAGCAAAAGACTTTTATGAAGTTTGTCTCGGAAAGGCCGCCTCTAGAAAGAATTTAATAAAACAAATATGGAAAAATGTATGGATAAATTTCTGTCCATGTAATTTGGGGTTTTCAGTTTGTTTAAGGTTTTTTTGGTGATATTTAACTTGAGATAAATGTGTTTATGTTTTCTTAATAAATAGAAGATAAAATCGCTGTTATGAATAACGATGAGTTATTTTTTAAATGAGAGATCTAATTGTTTACTTTAATTAAAGGTTGTAGGTGAGCTAAGAAAAACTGGTTGGCAATCGTCGCTTTACCTTACACAAAATGTTAAAAAATGAAATTGGAACTAGGTTTTTGAACCCACTTCCGCCCATGAGACTGTTTGTAGAAAATGTTTCTCAAATCTTGTTATCCTTTATTTCATTGTCAACTGTGGTCATTGATATTGTGTACCTTTTTGGCTAGATGTAAATTCTGCAAATAGTCAGTTTATCTTCGTACTTAAACAGTTAAAACTTTCAAATATTTTTTCAAGATTTAACACAAGTTTGAAAGGATGGTAGATTTGAAAACATACTACATACATGATTAATGTTAAACCTTTTCGCGAAGGCTAAGTATAAGGTACTTCAAATAGAATGGTAAATTAATCCACAGAGTCTGACCATTGATTAAGTGAACTGTCATTGTTCATCACACTGAGTTGTTTTCTTTCGTTTCATTGGTTGAGATAGTCTGACGTTTGATTTTGTCAGTTTTTGAATTTAACCGTGGGGTTCGGTGTTTTTATAAATACTTTTTTGCATAAATGGTTACATACCCTCAGTTCTGTTTTTGCCTGTTTGATTTTGGAGTTTTGTTTTGTTATTTATTTTTTACTCTAGATAACTGATATTTAAAAGACTAATTCACGGTCGTGCAATCGTGTAATAGGATAGATTGTTGTTATCGTATTTTCTTATCAAGTCAGTATTCTCTACAAGGCTTCGACTGACGATTTCGGCCAGATTGACTGATTTGTAGATCATCTTGTCCTGCAGATTAGATTTTAATAGTTTCTATTTATCTAATAAAGATTTTGTTTTAGATAATAGCAAGTTAAGGGCAATAGGGAGTCGTCTGACAGCTTTGCTCATGTCAGATTTGTTTCTATCTATAATGGATTACAAGGTAATAGACATAAGTTATATTTTACTACTTTGCTCTGTTAAGTCTCGATGGCAATTTTTTTTGGCAGGCGGGATTACTGTACACATTTTAAAACTTGATACGCCAAATAGGATTGCGGTCAATATTGTTTCCAATTGGCCCAGAAGTTTCAGAGGAGAACAGTTTTGTAAAAGTTAACGAACAACGAACGCCAAGTGATGAGAAAAGCTCTCGTGGTCTTTAGGCCTAAACAGAAGTTCGGTCAGAGTTAACAATGGTAGGACAAACAACTATTGCGTGTCTCAATTTCCTAGAACCAGGTCACCTACATACCCTGTCTATGAACTTCACTGAACTTGAAAAGTACATTAAAGTTCAGTCTTGGATACATGATTTTTTCATTATTTGCTATTGGCTTTGAACTAGCTTTAAGTAACTACGAGCACTCTAAGATTAGTATTTGATACATGATTTTTTTCATTATTTGCTATTAGCTTTGAACTAGCATTAAGTAACTACGAGTACTCTGAGATCTATACTTTGTGTCTTTAATATCATATTTGTTTTTCGTTGATTGTTTTGTACATAAATCAGACCGTCAGTATTTTCGTTTTGTATTTGTCTTGTGGGGCCTTTGAATGCTTGCTATACGGTATGGGTTTGGCTCATTGATGAAATCTGTTCGGTCCCCTATATAGTTGCTTTTTTTGTCAGTTGGTCTCTGGTGGAGAGTTGTCTCATTGTTAATCATACTTCTTATTTGTATTTCAACACGTCGTCACCCCAAATAAATCTGAATTTTACTGGATAACTTCTTCCAATGTACTACAGGGCATACACTTTTAACTTGCGTCTGATTCAAGAACCCTACTGGGTTGACTGGGGTATAGAAATATGGTTATCTGGACTTTTCCCACCCGTGAGCCCTTTTTGCTGTGCAGACAGTCTAAATACGCAGCCACGTCCGATCGAAAGGGAAACCTTAAATCCGAAGCATCGTGTAGGGCAGATCACTAGCATTAGGGATACTTTAGACTATTGCTAATTTATAGTGCATTGTTTGGCTTTCCTTAATACTAGTATTAAACACGCATTGAATCATTGAAAGAACACGTTTCTTTGTAAAAGTAAATACCGTTAAACAATTTGCAAGGGCTGGTCATTATTTCATGAGCGCTATGTCAGAAAACGTTAAATAATTTTGAAATGGTCGTATTTAAGTGTCATGCTTCTCTGCTTGCTTCTAAGTAATAACGAAACCGTTGTTTTTTTTTTTTAAATTGAAACGTTCTGAATGTTGTGAATCCCATGGTTAATAAACATGTAGTAATATAAAAATAAGGAGATGTGGTATGATTGCCAATGAGACAACTATCCACCAAAAAATACGAAAAACAAATATGACAAGACATGAACCAACGACAACCACTGAATTGGAACAGACAAATACAGAATTTGGTGGGGTTAAACATGTTTGAAGACGCCAACCCTCCCCTAAACTGGGACAGTGGTGTAACGGCATAATACAAGAACAAACTACTAAATAATAAATGAAAACAAATATGAGAAACAGCAATAAACGACAACCACTCAATTACAGGCTCCTGACTTTAGACAGGCACATGTATAATGTGGCGAGGTTAAACATGTTAGCTGGCGCCGAACCATCCCCCTAACACAAGACAGTGGTTTAACATCACAACATATGAACAACTATAAAAATCAGTTGAAAGGGCTTAACTCATAAGATACAAAGCATAAAAACAAGCAACAGAACCACAGACCTGAAGTGGTAGGGTATTCATAAATCTCCACAACAACAACACCCCCCCCCCCCCCCAAAAAAAAAAACACTAAGTACAGATCAGAGAGTACTCACAGTTACTGACAGCTAATTAAAAGCCAATATCAGAAAAAAAATATGTATCGAAGACTAAAATATCAATCAGTACAAATCCAACATCCAATGGATTTTGTGTAAAGACGTCATTAACAGTCAGAGAAAAACATGACCTTGTGCAATGTATCGATAGTGAATGTGAATACAAGTATGTATATAACAGTAAGCCTTTTCTCATCTTAAGACGAAGTGTCGTGCTCACAGAAAAATAGAATGCGTTTCTTTTAATGAAACTTTGCCTGAGAATTCGAGAAACACAGTCTGTTAAATAAATCGTCTTTACTCTATTATATTTGTATATACCAACTGGAAAAAAAAAACCAAAATATATCTATTTTATATTTTATTTTGCTCCATTTCACATCAAATATTTGTACACAAGGTATTGCTTAATTACACAATTTAAATACAGGTACGAAAGTAAATTTTACAAACTATTCAATTACATTGTAATTACAACACAAACACATTCGTTTGATATTCTGTCTCAATGCAGACATGCACCATATTTGTTAAAAAGCACAGGACGAATAAATAACTGAACAACTTTTTACCTGAGATCATGGAAGGCAGATGTGAATTTGTTGTATTTTTTGGCAGTTTTAGTCTACCAAAAAAAATATATAAACGTTACAACAATTCGCACAAGTAACATTTAGCACCAAATTTTACATATTCATCAGAAAGTATACAATCACATCGACATAGTTTAACCTTATCTTCGGTAAAATCACATCGACATAGTTTGACCTTATCCTCGGTAAAATCACATCGACATAGTTTGACCTTATCTTCGGTAAAATCACATCGACACAGTTTGACTTGATCTTCGGTAAAACCACATCGACACAGTTTGACCTTATCTTCGGTAAAATCACTTAAAACCAATCATAGACTGGTCTGTATTTCAAAATTGGTTTCAAGTACTTTTTGGAGTCCCCTTGAGAACAACGTTTACTCTCTGAAGCTATGGGAACTCTTTTACATTCATCTATCCATTGAACTCGGTTAGATCGTACATGTTTGTTTTCCCTCGAAACAGTGTTCTCATTAAGTGTATTTAGTGCTGTCGGTTTATAAACATCGGTTTGGATATCTGTATTACCTTGTTTGACACAAACAGTTTGAAGGTATTTATTTTCTTGTAGATATTTGTTGTCTATTTCACTGAGAACGGCACGGAAAACATCGGAACCATGAGGCAACATCTTCAATGATATTAAAATATCAGTCTCGAAAAGGGAAATTTGGGTTCGTTATTTCAACACTAGCTTTTGCATCCGCCTTCAACACTTCAAAGTTATCACTAGTTAAGAACAGTTCTTCTTTTGAATGCTATATCCGTATCAATAACACTCCTTTAATTATATAATTTTCAGCATACTTATTAATCTCATATTTCCTACTGAATTATAATATGATATGCTATTCGTTAATACTAGAACACGCTCTAATTCAATCTCAATTACTTACTTAAAATATACAGGTGAATGACAGTAATGACATCTTTGGTAAGTTTTATACCCGTTAAAGCATCATTTGTTTATGTCATTCAAACCACGTGAGATTTAAATACACTTATTGGAAACTGTCAATCATAAAAGGGTATGCTTTATTGAACGTATTAAATTACACGTCTACATTTAAATTTGCATGAAATAAAAATACAAGCATGTGTCAGACAACTACAAGTAACAGGTTAATCATCTCATCGTTCAAAACACACAAAAGAGCAATATTGATAATCTATTTAAAATCTACAAATTCGTATTATAATCTGTTTAATCAATACGGTGTATATATTTGAAAATATTCAAAACGTACGGATGTTGCTCAATTTCGACGAACGGATCTTGCGGTACATCATTCCTTACATAAACGTTCGATAGAATTGCCTAATAATTTTCTTGAAAAGAGAACACTCTTATTATTTTTTTAACCTTTGCAAATGTAAATAAAAACAATACAGTTTACACCCCAGTTCTATTGTTATACTTCATAGTTTCTATTTCTGAAACATGTGTGAATTGAATAGATCTATTGTAACGAATAACAATGGATTTTGACCACAGGGTGTGACGAGCGGGGTTTCTGGAAACCCCTGCTTCTACATCCCGCAAACAAAGTCCATTGTTATTCGTAACAATAGAAATTGATTATTTTTTAAATAGCATGAACATAAGAAATTACTAATAGTGTTCACTACAAATTGTTTCATGATATTAAAAAAACACATTTTAGGAAATTCCAACAGGCATCTATATGGAATACAAAAATAATCCTTTGAATACTCTTTTGCTTGAAAGTATTTTTTTTTTATCCCAGTCATATGTCTCTATTCTAAAGCATTGATCTTTTAAAAAAATGGGGATTCTAACTCCCGGACCCCCCCTCCCCCTCCCCGGTTACCCAGTGGCCGATCCGCGGTTGGGGGTTCCGCGGGTTGGACCCGACTTTTATTTAAAAGATCAATGCATTTGAATGCTTGGACCCCCCCTTTTCTCTTGAGTTGGGAGCCCCCGGGATCAGCCCCTGAGTGCCCCCAAAAAGGGAGTTCCTCTATATTAAATATTGTATGTTGAGCGTGTCTGGTAGTAGGGTTTTTAATGCAGACACACCTATCCTTTAGTATGTTCGAATATGAATGTTTGTTTATTCTCGAGAAGAGGGGGGGGGGGAGGCTTTTGTTTTTGATAAAATCGTAAGATATAAAATACAGTTATGATTACCTTTATTAAACTGATACAGGTAAGTACTTTGGGTTATAATATTGCCTTTATCTTTAGTCTCTTCTACCAAATCCAACGCTTGCCACAAAATGTCGTCCGTCTTATACCCGTCCATATTGACAACTGTATACCAGGACCATGATGTATTTTTTGTTTGTAATAAGAATACACGAAACATTCAACCTTGACCTGCTGATCCATATTAGCACAGGATTAAACGGGAATATGCAAAACAACTTTGAAATTTGTAAAATATACTCACTTGTCAAAGTTTGAACGAAGATAACCAAAGAAAGGTTACTAGTGGGGTTTCATGTAATATAAAAAAAATAGTTTTATAAATCATGGTTTTATATTGTCAATAAATATGATATCGTTTTTTTTTTCATTTAATAATCAATGTTAACAAATATAGGGTTTAGAATGGGGTGTAAGTTAGTTATACACCTCGGGATACGGCGTGTCTGGATAAGAAACACCTCCGGCCTCCGGCCGACGGGGTTTCTTATCCAGACACACCTATCCCTCGGTGTATAACTATTACATAAATTGAGTGCGTCCGAAGCGCTTTTCTCGATTTACCTCCATGAACGCTCAAACCTAAGGTAACAATACACAGTACGGAGGGGTTTCTTATCCAGACACACCGTATCCCGAAGTGTATAACTAACTTTCACCCGATACTAAACACTATATTTGTTTATATTGAATTTTAAATGAAAAAGAACGGATAGGATTTTAATTGACAATATCAAACAATGATTAATAAGAAAAAAACATATTTTTTTAAATGAAACCCCACTAGTAACCTTTCTTTGACATCTTCATTCACACTTTGACAAGTGAGTAGATTTTACAAATGACAAAGTTGCCGTTTTTGCATATTCCCGTTAAATGCATGTAATAATATGGACCAGCAGGTCAAGGTTGGCCGTATCGTGCATTTTTATTACAAAAAAATATATCATGCTTCTAGTATGCAGTTGTCAATATGGACGGGTATAAGACGGACGACATTTTGAGTCAGGCTTTGGATTTGACAGAAGAGACTGAAGATAACGCAATATTTATAACCCAAAGTACTTACATGTATCAGTTTAATTGAGGTAATCATAAATGTATTTTACATGCTACGGTTTTATCAAAAAAAGCCTCCCCCTTTCTCAACATTAAACAAACATTCACATTCGAACATACTGAGGGATAGGTGTGACTGGATTAGAAACCCGACGACCGGACACACTTAACTTACAGATTGCATATGTAGGAACACGAGGGGGGGGGGGGGGAGGGGATGCGCGGATTCGAACCCTCCTTTTTTGACGATCAATGCTTTTGAATGGGGACATATGGTTGGAAACCCCCCCCTCCTTTTATCCTGGGTTGAAACCGCCTTTTAAAAATGGCTGGATCCGCCCCTGGGTGCCATCATTTGTCTTCAACAATCCAAACATTAATATTTGTTTTATGATTTAGACTTAGTCCAAATGAATACTATAATATACTTATGTTTTTAATGTATAATTCAAATAAAAGTTCTATACATATATGTTCTTTAAGTCATTGCCATAATGGGATTAAAATTTTAGCTTCAAGCAAAGGAGTATTTAAATGATTTTTTTTTATTCAAAATAGATGTTAAATATTTTTTTCGCTGTTGGAATTTCCTGAAATATGTTTTTTTAATATGTCTTGAAACAACTTTTAGTGAACACTATTAGTAATCTCTTTTGTTAATGTTATTAAAAACAATTTCTATTGTTATGAATAACAATGGACTGTGTTTTCGGGATGTAGAAGCAGGGGTTTCCAGAAACCCCGCTCGTCACACCCTGTGGTCAAAATCAATTGTTATTCGTAACAATAGATCTATTCAATTTACACTTGTTTCATAAATAGAAACTACGAAGCATAACAATAGAACTGGGGTGTAAGTTTATATCTTCTCACCCTTTTTGCAATATTTTGTAGCAAATAAATGCAGATTGTTGCCATGGATACACCAACTTATTATATATCATCATTTGTTGGGGTTCGTCTTATTCAGGCTTTAGTTATCTATGTTGTGCTTTGTGTACTGTTAATTGTCTGTTTGTCTTTTTTTTTTTAGCCATGGCGTTGTCAGTTTATTTTCGACTTGTGTATGAGTTTGAATGTCCCTTTCGTATCTTTCGCCTCTCTTTAACTACTAGAAATACAATCTATGGAAGATATTGATTACATACATATGCACATATATGACACGAACATTAGGATTAATCTTGTTAGAAAGCAAGGAAAAGAGGATGGTAGAATTTATGAGGATAATTTTTTATTTTTTTTCCTAACTGTAATATTGCTACCTAAGCATTTGAAAGGCTATATTAAACACCCAACCACTGGCGGTACTAACTCAGACTGGCAGAGCGATTAAAATTGTTGACAATAAGTATGGAATTTTCTTTTGATTTTCAAAAAAAAAACCCAACTAGTGTCAATTCGAAAAACTTACTCCGACTGAAATCTAAAGAAAGGCGAAAGATACCAAACGGACATTCAAACTCATAAGTCTAAAAACAAACTGACAATGCCATGGCAAAAAACGAAAAACGACCAAAAGACAAACAACAGTACACAATACACAACATAGAAAACTAAAGACTGAGCAACACAAACCCCACTAAAACGGTGGGTGCTCTCAGATGCTTTTAAAAAAGGTAGGCAGATTCTGATCAACACGTGGCACCTGTCGTGTTGCTCAACTAAACTAGATTTGTTTTTTCCTTTTCTTTTTTATGAACAATTCCTGAGTTTTCAAAAATCACAATTTTATTCAAATATATTTTGTTGCAATCAGTGACTTTCATTATTGAAATGCACACATACTAATGGAAATTGTGCATTTTATAACACATGTTCATTGTTAAAGTTTTTAAGTCCCCTATTTCGATCTTGCGTCTGATGAACACGTCCTTGGGTTGTGATCATATTTCTGTCTATAAAAATTTTTCAATTTCACCTCTCCATTATGCTTAATTTTGAAGCATTTTATAGGCAAAAAAAATGCGTTTTGCTCAAAGGTTACACATACTATACATTCTTCTGTCCCGGGAGCCAACCATTTGTACTTTCAAGGCTCTGGTTTTGGCAACGTAAGAAGACGTTTAAAAACTGGGCTAATTCTTACAAATGTGCAATAAAACGGCGATAAAAATCGAGGAGATGTCGTTTAGTTTACGTAATTTATGGAAGGAAAATCAGAAGTCACTGCAATGTTCGTAATTTGAGTGCCAATATCGTGTTGAACTATACTCTAAACTATTAGTAAATAACGAACAAATCATTATTCAACAAGTTTGATTAATAGTAAAATCAAATAACACATATTCGTCTTATATTTTGCTCTCAACTTATTCGTTATATTTGTTATATACTTGATGTCTTAATGTTTAAATGGAAGATCATAATGAATTATCTGTACAAGCTTCAAAAATTAAACCTACGTATCTTTGCTTTATCTAAAATATTGACTTAAACAAGATATACAAATATTGTCTACAAGGGATTTAATACAATGCAAGAATCAGTTTGTTTTAGCTTAGAATAGAGTGTTAGTTATATTTTACATTTTTCTCTCCCACTTTAAAACGATTTCATATCTAAATCTTATGCAATATTAAAAACAAATTTACTCAACCACCTATGGCTGAACATGTTAAGATCTTTGTGGAATATGATTTTGCAAATCGACAATTAACTAACTTCATTTAAAACGCATTCTGTACATTGAAGAAGAAATGTATTCCACATAAATCCTTATATTCATTGCTG